TGAGCCTGAATCTGCTCTGTGGCAGTGGGTTTGGGTTTAATCAAGAACTTCTTTGCTATTCATATATATTCTTTGTTAAAGGGTCTATTAAAATCTTTTGTTCAGTTTAAATTATACCAAAGCACTCACACACACACACCCATATATATGTTATTTAATTCATTTTAAATATACAATTCAGATTAGAGACTACCGCTGTTGTGCAACCATGCCACTGTTTCCATAACTGTTTCATCCCCAGCCGCCCCACCTCTGAGCCATTAGTAAACTTTTATTTCTGTGTAGTTAGTTGCCTGTTCTAGATATTCCATGTAAGTAGAATTAAAAATATTTCACTCAGTATGTTTTCAAGGTTCATCCATGCCATAGAATGAATATATCATGACTTTATTTTCCATTGTTAATGAATATCCTCATAAATATTCTTTATCCAGTCATATTTTGATGGTATCTATTGATGGGTTATTTGCCTTACTATTACATTTTAGAGAAATTTCTATATTCTGCCTATAAGTCATCTATTAGATAAAGCATTTTGCATATTTTTTCCTTTTTATGTGGTTTTCTTTTTTTGATTGTAAATGGTACTTTTTCAAAAATCACTTTATTGGGAGCTCATACAACTCTTATCACAATCCGTACATACATACATACATTGTACATCATCGCTATTCTCAAAACATTTGCTTTCTACTTGAGCCCTTGTCATCAGCTCCTCATTTGTCCCCTCCCTCCCCCCTCATGAACCCTTGATAATTTATAAATTATTATTATTTTGTCATATCTTACACTGTCCTATGTCTCCTTTCATCTGCTTTTCTGTTGTCCATCCCCCAGGGAGGGGTTTATATGTAGATCCTTGTGATCGGTTCCTCCTTTCCACCCACCTTCCCTCTACCCTCCCAGTATTGCCACTCTGACCACTGGTCCTGAGGGGTTCATCTGTCCTGGATTCCCTTTTTCCAGGTCATATCTATACCAGTGTACATCCTCTGGTCTAGCCAGATTCGTAAGGTAGAATTGGGATCATGATAGTGGG